TAAAATCGTATTCCTTCATGAAGAATTCTTCTTATAAAGTGTTCCCATTATTTGTTTTTGTATAATTAATGGAACTTAGTGTAATTTAATTTCACATAGAATTCATAAAATAGGAAAATATCTGACAATAAAAAGAACAAATCCAACTCTTGGCTGCAATCTAGTGGTTGGCTAGATATCTGCAGCTCAGCTACAGTAATGCCTTTTTATAAAAGCTTTAAATGTACAAGTCAATTAAACACACCTGAAGATATTAATTTTCATACTGGTATAGAACAATGGTTGCAAAAAAACAAAATTAACAAGAAACTTTTCAATAAAAAACTCACCTATGCTGTCATCAGCATCTTTAACGTAAAAGCCTTTTAAGCCTAGTTTGTATAATGTTCGATCTCTGGAGAAAATAATCAGTAACATCAATGAGATATGGGAGTAAAGCATCAAGGAACAACACAAATGGATAATAAGAGGGGCTTTTTTCAGTATGTATTTCATGTGCTTAATTTGCTTTTAAAACTTAACTTGGTATATCAGTGCCAAAATTTCAATCCAGCCAAAAATAAGCGTACTGCACACAACCTAATTTAAACTGAAACACATATAGAAAAAAGGTTGCAGCTGCTTAATTTTACAGAAGAATGAATACTATTGTTAGGCAGAAAAAAAGATCTCTCTCACAATCAAAAGTAAGCAATAAAGAGACAGGTCTTATCACTTGGATCCCTTCAATAGTTAGAAGCACATAATCAGATGTTCTATTTGTGTTAGCAATGCTTTCCCTAATTTGGTGAAAAAGAAATCAGTACAAAGCAGGGAATCGCCCCTGAAAAAGACCTCTTTTTGCATAGGGAGGATATCTGGATGAAATCTCTAAATACTGGCAGACTTGTGCTGAGATAAATAACCCTTCAGATAGTCTTGATCTGAAGCAGTGAAGAATTATAAAAGGGAAGACTAGTATTTTCAGTTTGATTGTAAGAACCTATGTAGCATTTGTTAATATGATTTATTGGGTTAGGGATTTTCTGTCTTCACTGTGAGTTGTGTTGGGGGGTGCACGGAGGGAGCTCAACCAATCTCACTGTACATATGTTGTGCACTGACAATAAAGATTTGAATTTAGCAGCTGAAGAAGAATATTATGAATAAAAGCTCATTCCTATTTGCAGTTTAGAAGACCTATTCCAGACTAGTTTACAAACATCGATTATAACACTACAGTAAGATAATTTGCAGCTCTATAGTTTATTCTAGTAACATTTCCATGCAACATTATTATGTGTGGCTTTAATTAATGAATAATGTGGTTTATTTACTTTGGGCTCATGTTATTATACAAACACACTTGGGTACATTGTGCTGTATCAAGAAGCCCTGGTTAAATGGGCATAGCAATTTCCCCCTACAAAATGTGTCTTTACAAAAAAATGAAGAAAAATGCCCCCCCTTTCATTTTTGCTCCACTTCAAAAAAGCATGCCAGGCAACAATCAACTCCAGTGCAAGCATAAACTGTTCGCCTCCGGGCTTAATTTCCATTGAGATCTACGCGAGGATAATAAGGCCAACTTCCTAAGCGCTGTTATGCTTTTGAATTGGCACAAGATGTTCTTTTTCTTGCAAAAGACTAAGAGGCTCCAGTCAAATCAGAAATTCGAAATCCTCGCCCCCGCATCCCCCCCGACCCCAGCAACGATCACGTAATCCAGTGTTTTTCAACTTCAGCATCTTTTAACTCGATGTGAGGACTGCAAGTTGTCTGGGGAATTGTAGGATTTTAAATCTAAAAGATCCTGAAGTTGAGAAACACAGATCTAGGCGATCGAAAAAGAGCCACGGATCGACCGCCTGGCCCCAACTCACTCGACAAACGCCCGGGTGCACAAACAGAAGACATCTCCCACACCGCTGCTGCCGTCTCCTCTGCTCAGCACCATTAGCAGCTCGGCCACCAGCAGGCTCCTCTCGCCCTCGCGCAGCATCGCGATCTGCGGCCGCCGCTGCCCTGCCTGCTATTCTCTTGCAGCGATTTCGATCCTCCCGAGGGAGCAAGCGTGAGATCGACCTTACAACGGAAGCGGATCTCCGCGCCCGTTACCCTCCCTTGGAGTCCGGAAGGGGAGGTGCCTACAAGCAGTTGTGAGCAAAGCCGTCTTTTTTGGGTGGGTGTGTGAGGCTGAGTTGTGAGCGAGAATTAACAGCTTTCAATGTAAACTTTGAACGGAGATCTTCCTATAAAACAAGGGTCTCCAACCTTGGCAACTTTAAGACGGGTGGACTTCATGTTCTGAGTTCCTCAGCCAGCTTTGCTGGCTGAGGAACACTGGGAGTTGAAGTCCACCCGTCTTAAAGTTGCCAAGGTTGGAGACCCTGTATCAGGGGTGAAATCCAGCAAGTTCTGACAGGTTCTGGAGAACCGGTAGAGGAAATTTTGAGTAGTTCAGACAATCGGCAAATGCCACCACCTCTGGCTGGTCCCAGAGTGGGGTGGAAATGGAGATTTTGCAATATCCTTCCCCCAGGAGTCGGGAGGGAATGGGGATTTTGCAGTATCCTTCCCCTGCCATGCCTACCAAGCCACGCCCACAGAACCGGTAGTTTAAAAAATTTGGATTTCACCACTGCCCTCTATAGAAGATGACTTCGCATAGAAACAATGAAAAAAGAAGCATTTGTCTCTAGAAAGAGCGGGCTACCGCATCCCCTGGAAGAAAAGATACTTCGGAACTGTGTTAGTCAAACTTAGCTGGCTGGAGAATTCTGGGAGTTGAAGTTCACCCGTTTTAAAACTTGCCAAATTTGAGAAACACTGCTTTATAGAAGGCATTGGCAAGTCCTCCGTAGTATAGGTAGTCCTCAACTTACAACCACAATGGAACCCAAAATTTCTGTTGCTAAGTGATACAATTGTTAAGTGAATTTTGCCCCATTTTACGACCTTTCTTGCCACAGTTGTTAAGTAAATCACAGCAATTGTTAAGTTAGTAACACAGTTATTAAGTGAATCTGGCTTCTCCATTGACATTGCTTGTCAGAAGTTCTCAAAAGGTAATCACATGACCCCAGGACACTGCAACTGTCAAATGAATCAGTTGCCAAAGCAGCTAAATTTTGATCACATGACTATAGGGATGCTGCAATGGTCATAAGTGTGAAAAATTGTCATAAGTTTTTACAGTGGTTCTCCTCCTATCTCTCTCCCCGAGGCCCCTCACTTGTGGGGTGCCGCAGGAGTCGGTTCTCTCCCCCCTGCTCTTTAACATCTATATGAAGCCGCTGGGTGAGAGTATTCGTAGCTTCGGGGTGAGGTATCATCAGTATGCTGATGATACCCAGCTCTACATCTCCACCCCGGACCAACCCAGTGTTGCCCTTTCCGTGATGTCCCAATGCCTGGAGGCGGTATGGATCTGGATGGGTAGGAACGGGCTCAGACTCAACCCTTCCAAGACTGAGTGGCTGTGGATGCCAGTGTCTCCTGATCTAGTACCCCCACCACTTCAGATGGGAGGGGAGTTGCTGACTCCCTCTGAAAGGGTTCGTAATCTAGGCATCCTCCTTGATCCTTGGCTGTCCCTGGTGGATCACCTGATGGCCGTGACAAGGGTGGCTTTTGCACAGTTGCGCCCTTTCCTAGACAGGGATGCCCTTTGTACAGTCACTCACGCTCTCATTATTTCTTGACTGGATTACTGCAATGCCCTCTACATGGGGCTGCCCTTGGGGTGCACCCGTAGGCTTCAACTAGTCCAGAATGCGGCCATGCGGATTGTTACCGGAGCTTCCCGTTACTCCCGTATAACACCTCTCCTGCGCGAGCTGCACTGGTTACCGGTGGCCCTTCGGATCTGCTTCAAGGTGCTGGTCTTGACCTATAAAGCCCTACATGGCATGGGCCTGGGTTCTTGCAGGACCACCTACCGGCCTCCCACCGTCCAGTGCAGTCACATAGGACTGCCCTCCTCTGGGTGCCATCGGCCAGACAATGTCAGCTGGTGACCCCCAGGATGTTCTCGTGGCCGCAACGACCCTCTGGAATGAATTACCCACTGGGCTTTGGACGGCCCCCGACCGCCGCACTTTCCACTCCGAACTGAAGACATGGCTTTTTCAGCAAATTCCCTGATCTGTTATGAGATTTTAGTTGTTGGGGTTTTTACATTTGGATGTTTTTAGTTCTATTTATTGTTATATGTTTTTTATTCTGTGAGCTGCCCTGAGTCCTACGGGAGAAGGGCGGCATAGAAATCTAAGAAAATAAATAAATAAATAAATAAATAAATAAATAAATAAATAAATAAGTCATTTTCTTCAATGCCATTGCAACTTTGAATGGTCACTAAATGAACTGAGGACTACCTGTATAGGAATCATGGTAGCCTTTTATGATAACCAAACCTTTGCTTGAAAAATCTGCATATGTACTATTAACCAGTGCCTCATGGTTTGATTTGAGAAATTTCCACTACCTATGGGAAGTCTGTGTTTCAAGTTACTGTTAATGGGAAGCAGGCTAATGATCGAGTAAATGCATTTTGTCAATAGACAAAATAAATTTCCCTGTGCTCCATGCTAAGTTCAAGAATCTTCCTTCCTTCCTTCCTTCCTTTCCTTCCTTCCTTCCTTCCTTCCTTCCTTCCTTCCTTCCTTCCTTCCCCACAGCAGCCCAGGATAAAATGTTTCACATTTCTGTTGATTTTTCCCAACATTGTCTCCCACTAATAGCTAAGAGTTTCTTGGTGATGCCAGTCTTAATGCTGTCTTTCCTACAGGTAGAAATCACTACTTTCATTATGTGCCATCAAGTCAGTGTCAATGCTTAGTAATCAGATAGAGATATGTCCCTAGTCAGGTCCTTCAGGTCTTACAATGAAGACATTCATTGTCACTGTAATCAAATTTGTCAACCTTGCTGCTGGTCATTCTCTTTCTTAGTTTTTGCTTGAAAAAAGAACTCTGAATTGATTTGTCTAATGATCCATTTTTTTGTTTTTTTCTCAGCTGTCCGTGGTATTCTCAGGATTCTTCTCCATCCCCAAAATTTACTCTGAGGGAGTTGCTGATTCATGGATTAATTAGATTTCAGAACTAATTGAATTACCTGTTAGAAATAGCCAAGACTATTGTGTTATAACACCTTTTTAAATTATGTATTTGATGTGTTTTTAATCTGAGGGTATTTTTGTATTCAATGCAATTTACATTTTGAACAGAGTTGGAACTGCATTCCATGATGTACAGTGTATAAGTATTTGAAATAAATACTTTTAATTCTTTTACTTGTAAAATAGATTCTCCAAGAAATTAATAAAAGTTCTTTGGCCTCTATAAATTTGAAAGTGTCCTGTTACTATTGTAGGAAGTTAGCACTCACCCCTCTCCTAGAATAATGAAATATTTTAGGAAATATTAAAAAGGCAGAATATTGTATTTCCCTAATTGAGAACTGGAGAAACATGTTTTAAAGACAAAGCAGCTCCCACCTTCTTGCCCCCCCATCCTTTGTCAATGAGGCAGAGGCAGAAACCCAATCTTTGTCAATGGACCATCATCTGCAACACAATAGGACCCCTTTAGCAACAGAAACTAACACAATAGGACCCACTACTTCTATTGTGTATTCATTCCCCTAACCTTTACATCTATCCTCTAACCATTTATACCATTTATTCCCTACCATGTAGTATTCTGTTTCTTCTTTATCTTTTATTTCTTTTGTGAGTCTATCCATCTCTACACACAATATTTTCCTTATTACATTTTCCTCTGATGGTACATTGTTATTCTTCCAATTTTGTGCATACATTATTTTCACTGCTGTTGTGATATGTAAAATTAAATATTGTATTTTTTTGCCATAATTTCCTGTAAATATTCCTAATAAAAATAATTCTGGTTTCATATCTATTTGTTGTTTGGTTATTTCTTCCAGACATTTTCTTATTCTATTCCAATATTGTTTTACTTTTGGGAACGTCCACCACATGTGGCAATATGTTCCCTGGTTTTGTCCACATTTCCAGCAAGCTGGTGATGTATTCGCAACCCAAGCTATTTTTAAGTGCATGCCAAAAGATACAGATGTGCAGTATCAAGGGTCTGTAATGCATCATGGAAGATTTCACAACTCACAAGTTACTTAAAATAGCCCATTTTGGCATTGAAACATTTTATAGCTCAAGTGTTTCTCAACCTTGGCAAATCACTTCCTCATTTAAATCCTTTGACCGCGGGAGGAGATTTTTCGCGCGAGGGGCTCAGCCTCAGACTTCAGATGGAGCGTACCACAACAGACTGTAGGTAGGGGTTTTATTTTTCACTGCTTTCTCGCTCAAAAGCTCCATAACGCTAAAGATAATCTTTTAAAGTTAAAAACAAAGCACAAAATTCTTGCTTATATTTCGGAATTCCGAGACGTGTGTTGTATTTAAAGCCTCTGCATCCTGAAATGGTCCAGGCCAGAAAAAAGGCAAGAAAAAGCCAAATCCTTCCTCGCAGTCTCGGCTGCGCTTCGTAGTCCTGAAAGGGAAGACGGCGCCGAAGGTCTCCTCCTCCTCCTCCTCCTTTTGCATCTACACGATGCGCAACTTCATACTGCATTGCGGCTTCTCGGTGTTGCAGGTTTCTGCGCGATCTCCCCGTTTGGTCTTCCATCGAACGCTTTTGGGCCGAGCCGGGCCGGGGTCATTCCTGCCACCCAGATTTGTTGGCGCCCAGATTTGCGGGGCTGTGCTTAGAGCCCTTGGATGGAGCGCCGAGATTCAAGTGAGCGAGGGCGCGGTTCCCGAAAGTTGCTCGGGCGGCATCTTTAGCGGCGAGGCAGGAGCTCCGCTGGTAGGAGGGATTGCCGTAGGATGAAGAGCCGAAGCGCCGCGGTCACAAACATTGGAAAATGACGCCTCGTTCTCGGAATGGAAAAGAAGCGCTTGATGCAAAGGCCCAGGGAACGCTCCCCCGCTGACCCTTGGCCTCTTTGCGGTCCAGTGAATTAGTTTGATCAGGGAAAAAAGGGCTTTTTCGTCCCGGGCCGCTACAGTTTCGGAAACGGCTGCCAGATTTCATAATTGCAGCTTTTAAGGAAGCCCCCTCTTTCTCTTCCTCTCAAGTCTTTCATGGCTCTCTTTCCAGTTCCTGGCAGAAACTTTCAATCTGTGGAAACTGCAGGTTTTATTTATGTTGTATGCTTACAATGTTATCTGTCCAAATTGCCTTGAACGAGTTTCTGCCTAGAAATACTTTAAATCGGAATGAAAGGGCATCCAGACTGGGGATTATGGGAATTCATATCCAATACATCTGAAAGGCATTCAGAAGACTGGCTTCTGAGTTAAATATACTTTTTTTGCAGCTAGTGGTCTCCCTTGACTTAATTCGTGGAATGTGGACAATCTTTAGGATATGGAAATAGGTTGATGCCTATTGCAACAATGACAGCTACTTAACAGTTGTCTGCATCCAGGGCCAATGTTAAGAAGCTGTTTTTCTATCACATTGCTTTTTTAGTTTTAAACAGAAGAGAACTAATATGAATTCATTTTCTGTTGGGCAAGACAATATGACCTGGGTCATGGAATTACTGAACAGTATCAATATGTCTCCATATAATATCATAAACAGTTTCACGGATTACTCAGCATACTTTTTCTGGGTGTCAGTACTGTTCCTACTTCTCTTTTCTCCTGTTTTAATAATTCTTGGTTTTATTTATCTTTCTAATTTTCTCTTGCATATTTATAAGAGAAAAGTTAACTTAAAGGAAGATTATCTCAGTCAATCATGGGACAAGGGACGGAAGGCTGTGGCTCACCTTTGGGACATGTACAGTACACTGTGGCATGGTAAGTTTAATTTCCTGCTTGATCTACATGTTGATGTGGCTTTGTTCAATACGACAGTGGTTTATAATAACTTTAAATGGCACAGAAGACAACATGGAGCAATCATGTGATCTTCAGAACCCTCCATCAAGTTGCATTGTTTAATTATGTGTGGGGACTAATTATATCACTGCATTTAATGTGGAATATATAGGTAATGTCAATGCATACACACATACCATACCAACCATGTAATCCCCTTGGTGATAAATGTTATTTTTGCAAAGCACAGAAAATCAGTAAGAAATAATAAAAATTGCACTACATGTAACTTATTGGAGGAATGCAGGTAACAGGATGTTGGCTTGTGAAAAAAAATTAGAAATCCTATCTTGTTAGAAAAGCATAAACATGCTTGGGGTAAAATTGTTTTTGTTGACTCATACTGCTATGTGCTAAAACTGATCAGTATTTTTCTTATTCTTATTTTCTTAGTGGAGAGTGCTGCATAGAAACAACTGAAACTGCTTTTTTATCTCTCTAAAATGTGTTGTGTAGATAATACCAAATTTAGGTTTTACTCTGGATAAATCCTCTTCATTGATCATTACTTTTTGACCAATGTTACCTTTGGGCTGGAAAAAAATGTGAACCGAGATAATGATTTACTGAGGGCTCCTTTATTACAAACTAGTATATATTTCTAAGAGAGTTCAAGGACTGCATTGTTTCATATCTGAAACCAAGTTTTGGAGTAGACGTGTGTGTATATGCATGAAAGTTGGAGTTCCCTTTACTCCACTTAAGTGCATCTTTTCCTGGGCTCACAGATAATTGTGCAGGTCCAGGAAACAATACATTTGTCTTAAGGAGACACTAGTACAGTGGTTCTCAACCTGTGGGTCGCAACCCCTTTGGGGGTCGAATGACCCTTTCACAGGAGTCGCCTAAGACCATCGGAAAACACAATGGTTTTAGGAATAATTGTATGGTTGGGGGTCGCCACAACATGAGGAACTGCATTAAAGGGTCGCGGCATTAGGAAGGTTAAGAACCACTGCATTAGTAGATAATAACAAAGTGCTTTGTGGAATTGTTTTATTTTAATGTTGAATTGATTTCTATGGCAACTTGAAATGTGTTATTTAATTATTTATTAACAATAATTATAGACCCGAATCTACATGACTCTGTGTGATGAATTGATTTTTAAATACATATATTTCCCAGAATAATTGAAATGGCTGGAATATAAATTTCCAAAAAATAAAAAATAGGGCTCACCAATGCTTATTATATTTCTGAATGTTATGAAATGCAACAGTAGTGCTTTCTTCAATAATGTTTTACTGTTTGGTTATATAAATATAGAAGACAGGTAGATTTCTGTGGTAACATGATACATTTATGAATATTCTGACATCCATTAAAGTAAAAGGCTGGTTAGCCAATTACATGGTTATCTGAGACACCACTAGGAAATTCCAGGGCTGTAGGCTGGATAAGTTTTAAAAAGTCCAGAAAAAGACAATGTCAAACTACTGCCAAAAATTGATATATAGTATATGTATGTGCACTCATCAGAAGTTGAGTTAACTTTGAGAGGGACTTACTTTATTACATTATTTCTAAATCCTCCCACTTAAATGTCATTTCTTGTGGGATAAATTAACTTTCTAGTTGCTCCAGTCTAATGTATTGCTGTCTGCTGAAGTAGAGAATGCTTGTGGTCATAGCAGAATTAACATTCTTCTACTAATCCATCATTTGGTATATATAAGCCAAGGAGGACTATCAACTTTACCTTTAGCAACAAATTGATCTCAACTGTCTCTGGCAAAAACCTACTGTTATTTAAAGGTCATGTAACCAATGACTATGAAAAGTCCTTAACAGAATAAAGGTTTTGAATGGTGTAGTGCTATAATAGAGAAGATGCATAGCTAAGGATTGAATTCTGTCGGGTTCTGAACATCTGTTCTTCACAAGCTTTATTACCAAGCTAGGTAATATCAACAAAGCAAGGCAGTAGAGTTTGCTGGGTGTTTATATATGGCAGCTTTGTTACCAGTGTTGATTGCTCCTGGGGTGAGTATTGTTACATCTTTGATCTTGTTTCTCTGCTGCTGATTTCTTCTTATTTGTGTGTTGATTAATAGATTTAGAATGAGGAAAGATATGTTACAGTTCTTTGCTGTTTCCTTCATCTATACAGGTAATCCTTTACCTATGACCATTTGTTCCATGAATTAGGATGGCACAGAATGAATGGTGGGTTACAATCAATCCTTGGAATTCTGGTTATCCCAGCACTCCTGTGGACATGTGAATGTCCTGCAATCATAACATCACAATTTGCAATCTTTCCTGCTAGTTTCCCAAGAAAGTCAGTGGACAGCTGACAAGGAAGATTGCAAGTTCCTGTGATAAATCTCCCCCACTTGGCCCTCTGCGCTCATGTACCCTCCTCAAATCCCTTGTGTCATGGAGCTTGGGCCACTTCCTGAGGATCTGGCACATGACTGGGCCGACGACCTGGTGGCCGCCTGGGATCGGGCGGCTGGTGGGGCCTTGGATTGAGTTGTGCCTTTGCGGCCTCTGACCCAGTGCCGATCCCTCGTAACTCCTTGGTTCACTGAGGAGCTGAGGGAGATGAAATGCCGGAAAAGACGCCTAGAGAGCGGTTGGAGGGCCAGTCTAGCTGAATCTGATCGAACATTGGTAAGGTCGCATATTAAGACCTACCTAGTGGTGATGAAGCTGGCAAAGTTTAATTACTTTTCCGCTCTTATTGCATCATCAGAGAATCGTCCGGCCACCCTGTTTAGGGTGACCCACTCCCTCCTCCATTCGGGAGCGCGGGAGGATCCCCTGGACGGCAGGGCTGAGGATTTCGGATGGTACTTGTATGACAAAATCGCTCAGATCCGGGGGGATTTGGACTCTGACTGGGTAGATTCGGGCAGGGTGATGAGGAACAGTCCTGAGAATGTTATCTGGGAAGAGTTTGACTCTGTGACTCCTGATGATGTGGACAGGATTCTGGGGAGACTTAGTGCGGCCACATATTTACTGGACCTGTGTACCTCCTGGTTAGTACTGGCTTCCTGGGAGGTTACACGAGGCTGGCTCCAGGGAATTATCAACGCTTCATTGAGTGAAGGTTACTTCCCCACTGCCTTGAAAGAGGCGGTGGTGAGGCCTCTCCTCAAGAAGCCTTCCCTGGACCTGGCAGTATTAGCCAACTACCGTCCTGTCTCCAACCTTTGCTTTGTGGTGAAGGTTGTTGAGAGTGTGGTCGCGCGACAGTTTCCACAATTCCTGGAGGAAACGTCTTATCTAGATCCGTTCCAGTCGGGTTTCAGGCCTGGGCACAGCACGGAAACGGCATTGGTCGCATTGGTAGATGATCTCTGGAGGGCACGGGACAAGGGTTGCTCCTCTGTCCTAGCCCTGTTAGATCTCTCAGCGGCTTTTGATACCATCGATCATGGTATCATGTTGCACTGGTTGGAGGAGTTCGGGATGGGGGGGCACCGTATTACGGTGTTCTCCTCCTTTCTCTCAGACCGGTCGCAGTTCGTGTTGGCAGGGGGGCAGAGGTCGACCTCGAGGCCTCTCATTTATGGAGTGCCTCAGGGGTCAGTGCTCCCGCCCCTTCTGTTCAACATGTATGTGAAGCCGCTGGGTGAGATCATCCGTGGCTTTGCGGTGAAGTACCATCAGTACGCTGATGACACCCAGCTATACATCTCAAACCCCAGGCCACCCCAATGATGCCCTTGAAGTGATGTCCCAGTGCCTGGAGGCTGTGCGGATCTGGATGGGGAGGAACAGGCTCAAGCTCAAGCCTTCCAAGACTGAGTGGCTGTGGTTCCTGGCATCCCGATATAGTCAGTTGACTCCATCACTGACTATTGGAGGCGAGTCTTTGGCCCCCGCGGAGAGGGCGCACAATCTGGGAGTCGTCCTGGATACGCAGCTGTCCTTGGAGGAACATCTGACGGCTGTAGCCAGGGGGACCTTCTGTCAGGTCCGCCTGATTCGCCAATTGCAGCCCTTTCTTGATTGGGATTCCCTGTCCACGGTCACTCACGCCCTCGTCACCTCGCGCCTGGACTACTGCAACGCTCTCTACATGGAGCTCCCCTTGAGGAGCACCCGGAGGCTCCAACTGGTCCAGAATGCGGCCGCGCGGGTAATCACGGGAGCCGCCTGGTGCTCCCACATAACACCGCTCCTGTGCGAGCTGCACTGGCTCCCAGTGGTCTTCCAGGTGCGCTTCAAGGTGTTGGTTACCACCTTTAAAGCGCTCCATGGCATAGGACCTAGTTATCTTCGAGACTGCCTGCTGCTACCGATGACCTCCCACCGACCTGTGTGCTCCCACAGAAAGGGTCTCCTCAGGGTGCCATCAGCCAAACAATGTAGGCTGGTGACCCCCAGGGGGAGGGCCTTCTCTGTGGGGGCACCCACCCTCTGGAACTAGCTGCCTCCTGAGATAAGGAGAATCCAAGACCTCGGTGCCTTCCGCCGTGCCCTTAAAACTTTCTTTTTTCAGCAAGCCGGGCTGGCTTAATATATTTTTTAAATATTTTTAATTGGTTTGTTATTTTAAATTGGGGCCAAATTAATATATATCTTTTTAATTCTTTTTAATGTTTGTATTGCATGTTTTTTATCTGGCTGTACACCGCCCTGAGTCCCTTGGGAGAAGGTGCGGTATATAAAGTCTAAATAAATACATACATACATACAAACATACATACATACATACATAAATGTTGGCCACTCATCCACCTCAATGAATCCTCCCAGACCTGCAGCTCCTTTTCATCTCCTCAGACCATCACTCACCCCCCTGACTCATACCTTGCAGCCTGCACAGCTTCCCCAACCTATGTCTGTAATGCACACACTCTAGCATCTCCCTTTACAGCCCTGTGCACCGTTTCCAACCTGCATCAAGCCTGTCACACAGCCCTCCCAAACCACACATCTTATGCAGCCTGGCACACTTTTCCCAACCCACACTACATCTCTCATGGACCCTACTGCATCTCTTCCTGAAGCGTGATGTGCTTATCCATATTTGCACAACCTCCCTGATGCTCTGTTGCACCCTCCCCTACATTAACCTTGCTCTCTCCCCCATTTGACAGCACCTTCTATTCTACCTCCCAGCCTGGGATTTTCTGTAAATTTCTCCACTGACTTTGCTTGTAGGAAGCCAGCAGGAAATTACCTCACTTTATGATTGTGGGATTCCTTCAATGGGATTGTAGGAATTGCCATTGCTAAATGATGTCATGCTTTATGACAGCATCATTTAGCGACAGAAATTCCAGTCCCATTGTAAGTTGAGGACAACTGCTTCCTTTCTTGAATAGTTTTTAGATGGAGCTTATCTCAATTCTTCTCACAATTTTCTTCCTATTTGTCTTACCTAGGGATTTTCCGAGACCTTGTATCTGATCTTGCAAAGTTGTCTGTTTTAACCTCTTTAGCTGTGTGCACACTGTTTTATGATGCACCTGGATATGTAAATTGCTGTTATTTTCTATTATGATGACTGTGTCCAAGAAAAACACTTTTCTACTGTAACTATTTTCTTCTCTTGTAAATCTGATTCCATGAAAGCTGTTCATGGAATGACACATGTATCACCCATGTAAGAGATGGACCGTAACTCCGAGGGGACTATTACTTCTAGAGGTTGCACTACATTCTGTACTGTGAATCCTGAGATTCAAAAGCTTAATCCTCTAATCTGTTTCTATATTTGTTCCTCAAATTGGAAGTAGGTGATGAGGCTGAAATCTATCAGTCCCACAACTTTTGGTATTTTGACAGTATAAATGCTGAAGAGGATTATAGCAAAGAGTTTAGCTTTGAGTCAGTTTTTGATCTCAACAACTGTGCTTATATTGACTGCAGTTTCTTCTAGATTCCATGCTAATCTTAATCTTGATTTTTTATTAAAGCAATACTGAAACTCTTATATTTTATCCTTTAAACAGGTTATGAGATACATGGGATGGATAAAGTACCAGAAGGACCAGGGCTTATCGTATTTTACCATGGAGCCTTTCCTCTAGACTATTTCTACTTTGTATCTAGATTATATTTAAGAACAGGCAGATTTTGCCGCACAGTGGTTGATTACCATTTTTCCAAAATACCAGGTAAAACATATTGTCTGTGCACAAACACAAATATTTCAAATCTTTTAACACAGACATAATTACAATTTATTTTAAAACATTACACAGTTCCTCTAAAATGCAAGTTTATCTGGCTTCTTGAATTATCAAGCAAATCTTGTATCATTTGACATTTTGGTTATTACTGAAAAATAGCGTTTTTGTAGCCTGAGCCAGAGCAGCTTAGGTCTGTTCCACTATTATTAGCATCTTATTCTTTTATAGACAGTTTTGATAAAACAATATTTCTTTGGTTATTTGAGAACAAAAAATGTCCAGGCAAACTGTTGAAAATAAGTTTTCTGTTTCTCTTTGCCTATATAATCAGGGGGAAAAAATCTTTCTTTTAAATGATCTTCAAAACATGTACAATTTTCTACTTACACTGTTCTGTTCATTCAAATATCATCTAACAAAATGCTCCCTAAAAATAAAAAGGTTTTCCCCCATTGGTTTTGTCCAGATTTTTTCATTCCTCATCTATTGGGGAAAAAGTTTTTGCAAATTTGTCTGATTTTTATGTCACTTTGTATCAACCTTTGACTGAAGAGCTCGTCTTTAGTAGAAATGAACATCCTGCTCTTTACTGACAGTGATTTTAACTTTCTGTTAGTTATTGTCTAAATTCAATAAGGGAGGCTGAAGGTTGTGTGGCAGTAATGGGGAAATTTATTTATTTATTTGTATACCACCTTTATTATTTTTACAAATAATTCAAGGTAGTGAACATATCCAACACGTCCTCCTCCTATTTTCCCCATAACAACAAGCCTGTGAGATTGGCTGGGTTGAGAGAGAGTGACTCCCCAAAATCACCCAGCTGGCTTTCATAGCTAAGAACTTATGGTGTCCTGGTCTCTAACCTGGTGCCTTAACCTCTAAATCAAACTGGCTCTCACCATGCTATCCATAACAAAAGTATAATGTGTCTATGTGTTAGTGTTAGTGTCTATGTGTCTAATGTGTTAGTGTCTATGCAAACTTTCACTGCCTTTTCCCGCTTAATGTAGCAGGACATTACCTGTATCTGAATATGTGTAACTAATTACAGATTTATTAGTTAAGGTGCAGCCTTCTACTATTTCAGTTTCATACATTTTTACAGTCAGCAAAGTAATATAAGCCCTGCCAAACCTGTTTAATATTTGTACCCTGTCTGAATATAAAAGACATTATGTTCTAATAAATGTGTTGCTGAGTATACATCAGGGGTGAAATGCTCGTGGATCGGATTGGATCGCCCAATCTGGTAGTGATTTTTCCTGTGGTGCGATCACCGCCCAGATGTCATTACTTCCTGGTTTTAACCAGGAAGTAATGTTTTTTTTACCTTCTGTGCATGTGCAGAAGATGTGTGCGTGCACGGAGCGTGCGCTTCTGAACCAGTAAGGAAGGTAAGTAGATTTCACCCCTGGTATACATGCAGAATATCAGGTCCTAGCGTTTTAATCGAAATTTACTTGTAATTCTGTTTGGATCTGTCAGAAATGGACCAAACCAGGAAACCAATCCCACAAGAAGACTAGAACTTTTTAACGTCATTAAGATAGGCTATAGCAGTGATGGCTAACCTTTTTGCCATTGCGTGCCAAAAGTGGGGGTCGCGGGGTGTGTGTGCCCACCCATAATTCAATGCACCCCACCCCCCTCACATGCGCACACGACCCCCCTGTGCTCTCCCCGCTTTTGGCACGCGATGGCACGGTGGGCCCAGTAGGCCCGTTTTTCGCCCTCCAGAAACTCCGGAAGTCAGCTAACCAGCATTTCCAGTCTCCAGAGGGCCTCTGGGGGACTGGGGAAGGCCGTTTCCACCCTCCCCAGGCTCCTAGAAAGCTTCTGGAGCCTGGAGAGAGTGAGAAACAGGCCTTCCCCACCACCCAGAGGCCCTCCGGAGGCTGGAAACAGCCTGCTTTCCGACTTCTGGTGGGTCCAGAAGGCCTGAAAATCAGCTGGCTGGCGCACGCATGCACGCTGCAGCTGAACTAGGGCAATGCTTGCGTGCCCACCGATATGGCTCCACATGGCACCTTTGGCACGTGTGCCATAGGTTTGCCATCATGGGGCTATAGTAACAGAATCTTTTCAACCTGTCTACAGGGGGAAACCAGATTGAGCCTCTTAATACTACTTCCTTTTCCAGGATTTGAGGAATATATGTGTCCTTGTTTCTGTATTGGTTTATGAATATTTCTTTCAAGGCCATCTCCATGGCTTTATACAGCATCCAAAGAATACATTGAAGTTGGCTCTTTGGTACAAAGCTGGTACCAAAAAGCCAACTTTGGTACATTTGATCCCATCCTTGCGGTTTTAATTTGTAATTGGTTTTAATTGGGTTGTTTTAAATTGATGGCCAAAATTATTTAATGTTTTTTAAACTGCTTTTAAATTTTATATGTTGTGTTTTACTGTGGCTGTTCACTGCCCTGAGTCCTGTTGGAGAAGGGCGGTATACAAATTAAATAAATAATAATAATAATAATTTAGTAGCATTTAGCCTGGCCTAAATCTTCTCCTTTTTAAAATTTTAAAATTTAAATTTTAAACACTAATTTTAATTTGTTTAATTATGGGATATTTTTAAAATTTAGCCAAATTGTTTAATCTGTTTTAATTTATTTTAAATTTTGTATTTCTGTGTTTTATCTTTTGGCTGTTCACCGCCCTGAGTCCTTCGGGAGAAGGGCGGTATAGAAATTTAATAAAATAAACTAAATAAATAAATAAATTTCATGCAAAAATTAAATTATATCCATATTATAGGAAGCATTTGCATGATAATTCAGAAGCACAACAAGTCAGCTATGTTCCTTAATAATTATGTTAAAAACTGTTAACAACTGTCATCAAAAAATTGTGTATATAATATTTGTTTCTTTATGTGCTCTCTCGACCATTGGTTCACAGGATTTAATTTTATATATGGCTTACAAAAGAGAACTCAAGAGAGGAATACTTTTATTTGTGTGTATAGAAAAGTTTTAAGTATAATACTGTATATATTCTAAAGATGCTTTTGCTGGTATCTTGTACAGGTATAAAACTGTTTTATAATGTGGAAGGCCTTACACATAATGGAAGGACAGAATGTACTGAAATTCTGAAAAGGGGATACTTATTGGGAGTTTTACCAGGTGGAACCCGAGAAGCACTGTTTAGTGATGAGAACTATGAGCTTTTATGGGGTCGCCGGACAGGCTTTGCTCATGTGGCTAGAGATGCAAAAGTGGTGAGTAGCTTTCTGCTATGCATCTAAAACATTATAATGAAGGTTACAATGGACACTGGATTAAATAGAAATCTATTTAATCTATCCAGCAATCATTAATTACACTTTCATATCATCTACATCATTCCAGTCATTGATCTAAGTTTTCTGCAAACTCCCCACCCAAAAATAACCACCACCACCTATGGGTAACTTGGATGAATTGTGTGGTGAACATTTTTGCCTTCTAGATAGTCATGAGTCTCAGCAATTTATACTTTAAAATGAATATAAAAAATGGAGAAACAGATAATAGATTTCCAAAAGAAAATAGTAACTAAACAAAACAACAAAAATAATTTATAGAGGGTCAGCAGGCATACTGCTCCAAGGTCTAGGAAAACAGTCAAGCTTTCGGAGTTGTATGAAACATCATTATGGTGGGGAGCCATATGGATCTCTTTAGAGATTGTCTTCCAGAAGGCAAATGCCACAACAGAGAAGGCACAATATCTAGGTCCTGAGAAATAACGTTGTTTAATTGAAGGAACCCGGAGTATGCCCAGCTACTCTGCTGATCTTACTAGATGGGCAGAAATGATGAAAGATAGTTCTGGCTGCATGCCAGAAGGGCTTTAAAGATGATAACAAGCACCTTGAATTGCATCCCAAAGTCCATCCATCAGCAACCACTGAAGTTTGCGGGTAGCCCACCACTGCCCATTCTAATTCATTCCAGTAATAGCTTCTGGACAGTCTTCAAAGGTACTCCGTAATCCTACTGTGAGGTGATGAGGACAAAAATGACCAACTAAAGAGTGATTTATGAGTAGGATGATAATCTAGTCACCAGGGTAGATCTATTGAATGTCTTTGCTTTCAAGGGAAAATTTTCTCAGATGCAAAGCCAGGCCTCAGATGGCAGGTTTTCAGAGCCCCAGGCTGTCAGCTGCTGCTGGTGAATGCTAAATTAGTCTGTAACAATGCTATCTTGATTTATGACTTAATTGTTGAGGAAAAGGCTGATCTGGCATGCATCATTGAGAGTTGGCTGGGGGAAGAGGGTTGGGTTCTGCTCTCTGAGATCTGCCTGGGTGGTTTCCATGTTTGGCCAAAATCCCAAGGAAGGGGAAATAGAGTGGTGGTGATTGTTTGGGATCCTTGGCAAACATTCAGGGGCCTTGCTCCACAAATTGTTGGATGTGGGATGCTATTACTTAAATTGGGTACCAGGAGAAGTCTATTAGACTGCTGATGTTGTTCCAGTCTCCTTGCTATGTACCAGTAGCAACTTCCCTGCCTGACTTCCTTGATTCCATGACTGGGCTGATGGTTGAATTCCCTAGATTTATGGTGCTGGGGGATTTCAACCCACCATCCCTAGGTGCAGGTCAGAGGTATCGGGAATTTATGGCCATCTTGGCAGCTATGGATGTGACCCAAGTCATCTAGGGCTCAATTCATAGTAGTAGTAATTGGGGGAGATTTTGATTTCTCCCTGCCATGGACAAGCCACTCACTGGTGACCCTCAGTTTCTCAGTTGCTACCTCCCTCTGCAGGGAGGCTGAGCCCATTGGATCAGCCCACCCCAGGAGAGTAATGAAACTAATTGGATTCCAGAGGGAACTTGGGGTTATTCTGGAAAGTCTAATACTCAGTCCAATTAAAGCCTTGGTGGAATAACAAAGTGGCAGTATCTTTCTTTAGATCAGATTATGCCTGAGCAGTTTCTTTGCGCCAGAGTTCCTGAATTTTCCATGGTACATGATGGAATAAAAAGAACTTAAGTGACTAAGAGATACCTAGAATGTCACTGGTGAAGACAATCAGACACAAGCTAGAGCCACTCTTAAGGACTACCTAATGGCAATAAGGATGGCGAAACATAAGTACTTCTCCGCCTTTATTGTGTCTGCTCATGGTTGCTGAGCGGCACTGTTCTGGGTGACTTGGTCCCTCCTTGGAGAGAAAAATGCCAAAGTCTACCTAAAGGGTTACTATGAAGAATATTGCATTAATTCTATGCTGGACTCCAGCTTTAGAGCAAAGTCTATGGAGGTGATGGTGACTACATCTTGCAAGGTAATCTGTGAAGAGTTTGAGCCTATTGAACCTGAAGAAGTGGACAGGGCTCTCTCAGCTGCTAGTTTGACCACTTGTATGTTAGATCCATGTCCCTTCTGACTAAAGCCTTGCAGGAGGGGACATGTTGAGTGGGTTTGGGCAATAGCTAACTTCTCCTTGAGAGAGGGAGTAGTGCTTCCAGCTCTTTAAGAGGCAGTGGTGAGCTCTCTCTGCAAAGGACCATTGCTTGACCCAGTAGCCTGGACAGTTTTTATCTGGTCTCCAACCTCCACTTTCTAGGGAGAGCAGAGTGGTTGCATGGCAACTTCAGAGAACTCTGGAAGAAGCAAATTATCTAGACCCCTTTCAGTAGGGGTTCAGTCGAGGGTTTGAACCTGAGATGACATTGATCATATTCATAGATGATCTCTTGTGGGAACGGATGACCTCAGTGGCACTTGATACCACCAATCATGGTATAATTGTATGCTGGCTTCAGGAATTGGGGGTAGATGGCACTGTATTGTGCTAATTCTCCTTCCTCCAAGGCCAGCTGATAAAAGGAGAGAGATCTAGCCCACATCCCATACTTTGTGGGGTATGTCAGGGTTTGTTCTCTCTATTTTTCTATTCAGCATTTACATGAGGCTGCTGGGTGAAGTGATCCATTGGTTTGTGGTGAGATATCATCAGTATGAGACCCAGCTTTATATCTCTACCCCAGGCCTCATGAGTGATGCTCTGGACATCCTATCCCAATGTCTGAAGGCTGTTGGGGACTGGATGGTAAAACGAGCTTTGACTCAACCCTAGCAAGATGGAGTGGCTGTGGATATTTAGACTCCCCAGAGACATGGTTCTTCCATCTCTTCTGAATGGGGTTGCACTGCCCCAAACAGACCCAGTACACAATCTGGAGTCCTCCTAGACTCATGGCTCCTGCTCAAAGAGCAGGCAGCAGCAATGGGTAGGAGGACCTTTGCACACTTCTAATTGATGTGTCAATTGCATCTGGACCAGGAGGCCTTGTTCACAGTAACTCACACACCCTTGTAACTTCCAGGTTAGACTACTGTAACACACTCTACATGGGGTTTTCCTTGAAGGCTATTCAGAAACTCCAACTGGTGGTTGTTTGGGTAGTAAATGGTGCCAGATATATGGCACATGTAATACCACTCCGGTATGAGCTGCACTGGTTATCGCTGTGTTCTGGCTACAATTCTGGGTGCTTGTGATTATCTGTAAATCTTACATGGCTTGAGACTGGGGTACCTGAGCATTGTCTTTTTTCAAGAGTCTCTACCCATCCAACTAGGTCAAGCACAATGAGCATGCTGCACATCTCATCAGCCAAAGAATGGCCCCTGCTGAATGGAATATCCTCCCTTCAGAGATCAGAATGGCCACTACCTTATTAGCCTTTCATAAGGCTTAAAAACCTGGCTATGTTCCTGAGCTTAACATGCTGAATGTGCCAACGGCCCAATTTCCTGGCTGTATTGGTAACCAGGTTAAATACCTTGCTATTATGTATCTTAAATTGGATGCTTTTATTGTTTTAAAATGTTTAATTTTTTAGTTGTAATATATTTTATGAATTGTAAACCACCAGAGTCATTGACTGAAATGGGCAGCCCAAAAAAATTGAACTAATAAAATATATAAATAAATAAAAATCAAAATGGCAAAAAATAATCTTGGGCCAGAGACATAAATGGACACCAAAAGACAACTTCTCTGGTAAATAAACTTGTAAATGAACATACTTTCATTTTGCACTACATATACACTGCTGTTCATTAGTCATAATTTAATGAAACAAAAGAGCTTTCATATTTCATTGATTTTTATGGGATGATAATCCTTTCCCATTAAAAATGGGAAAGAGCCTTGATAGTACAGTGGTTTAGTGCACCCTGTTATTAACACAGCTGCCTGCAATTTCTGCTGGTTCAAATCTCTCCAAGGCTCAAGGTTGACTCAGCCTTCCATCCTTTCTAAGGTAGGTGAAATGAGGACCCAGTTTGTGGGGGCAATAAGCTGACTTTGTATAAAATATACAAAAGAATGAAGGCTATTGCTTAACGCATTGTAAGCCGCCCTGAGTCTCCGGAGAAGGGCGGCATATAAATCAAATTAAAAAAAAAAAAATCCATGAGATTTACAAAACAATGTCTTTGAGAAAATTCATGTTTTATAATAACTGAAATATTCTGTTTTCAAAGTTGTGTAAAAGTGCATGGTGATTCTATTCCATACATTTATTATCACATTATATCTATCTATCTATTATCTATCTATCTATCTATCTATCTATCTATCTATCTATCTATCTATCTATTTAAATTTTTATACCGCCCTTCTTCTGCTGGACTCAGGGCGGTGAACAGCCAAGAATAAAAACATCACATAAAAAATTTAAAATTTTTAAAAGAATTAAACAAATTTTGGCCCAATAAATTTAAAACACCCCAACTAAAATCATGAATTGAATATCTCATTTCTTTACTTAATAAAATTTATAGTTAAGAAAATTTATATGGCAAATTTTCATCTTGCATATAAAGTCCATATCAAATAGCAACAGTATTATTTAAAAAACTTTTTCTGTATTCATAACCATGACATAGTTTAAGGAAAAGGATGGCTGTGTTTAAATTTAAATTTTGATGAAATGCAGTTTATTCTTGTATTAATAATCCTAAAACTCTTAGTGATAAGATTAGCACTTTTCAGTTCCAATTCAACAAAAAGTAGGATATCCATATCCTTAAAAAGTTGTTAGCTGCAATTTTGGTTTATTGAAAAGACAACATCAAATCTTGAATTACGAATGGGCTTATTTCAATAAACTCTATTGATGAATTGCCCCATTTCAGATTTAGATTGAATGCTAATCTATAGACAGTTGTAATGAAAGCTTAGAATTGCTACATTATGAATCTCCAGAAATTAAGGTGGAAAGAACACATTTGTATACATTGAACTGTTGTAGTTGAATTAATCCTTCAAAATCAGGGTTTTTTTTCCATGCATTAGATATTATGTGTTTTATTAGAAACCATTTTTAAAAGTGAGGTATCTAATACTGAGAAAGGTATAATTTCCTTTGTGAATGGAGATAATGTTTATTGTACTAATTATTCAGTGTATGATGCTAATGCATGATCTTTAAATTGTAGAGGCTGAAATGCTGCCCTAATTCTGGCTACTTTTCTCCCACCTTTCTCAGCCTGTCATTCCTATATTTACAAAAAATCTACGAGAAGGATACAGAACACTTGGGAAAATATGTAAGAAAAATTCAACTTGCATCTACTCATTGTGCTGAAGCATATTTTATGGAAGAAAATCATGCTGATTTCAACTGGATTTCTATTTAATTGTGTTTAGACTGTTGATCTTGGATTAAAAAATATACTAATTTTTTTGTTTTCTTATATCCATCTATTTCTCCATTTCTTTCGTTCTTGGCCTTGGACTTCAATCAAATTGGCTGATCCTATTATTTTGTGTTCTTATGTCTTTGCTTCTCTCTCTTTTTATCTGTGATTCTTTTTGTGTTTTCTTTAAATTTCTTCAGGTATACAATAGTTGTGTGGCAGATGCAGCTTTACTTTGGCTACAATTTAGTTGCAGTTTTGTGTATTTATATTGATGGAAATTAACAAGACAAAATGGCTAATTCTATACAGAACTAGGACCTTGACATTTGTTCTGCATAATAACTGAAGCATGCATTTCTATACAGTTAAGATATAACTGCATGGACTTTCCAATCAGGGCACTTTGAATATTGTTCAGCCCACACCATGTTGTTGTTGTTGTTGTTGTTGTTGTTGTTGTTGTTGTTGTTGTTGTTGTAACATGACCATATTTTTGATTTTGCACACAGGGCCATTCAAATGGTTGTATGAACGTACCCGATGGCCAATTGTTCCTGTATATGGTGGATTTCCTGTGAAATTTTGCACATACATAGGGGATCCCATTCCTTACGATCCAAATATATCAGCTGAAGAATTAGCTGAAAAGGTAATTGAAGTGAACTGCAGAAATTTCAATTATAACACTTGTCGTTATATTGATATTATTATTCATGAGTCACCTGATCCGGTAGCGATGGAGGCGGGTGGTTCGGAGAACTGGTAGCAAAAATCCCTATCCCCCCCCCCGTCCAGCTGAGCGGCACAATCATCAGAGGCTTTTTTTAAAAAAATTTTAAAGCATTTTTTTCTACAACCTCTTTGGCGGAAAAAATGCTTTTAAAAGTAAAAAAAAAAAGCCTCTGATGATCGCGCAGCTCAGCTGGGATCGTCAAATGCTTTTAAAAGCCTCTGATGATCCCAGCTGAGTTGCCTGATCGGCAGAAGCTTTTTTTCTTTTAAATGCCTCTGACGATCCAAGCTGAGTTGCCTGATCAGGAGAGGCTTTTAAAAGAAAAAAAGTCTCTGCCGATCAGGCAACTCAGCTGGGATCGTCAGAGCCTTTTGAAAGCATTTTTTTACAACCTCTTTGCCAAAGAGATTGTAGAAATAATGGTTTTAAAAGTAAAAAAAAAAATTGGCCACGCCCACCCAGTCACATTACCACCCCCCACCAAACCACGCCCACAGAACCAGTAGTAACAAATTTTAGATTTCACCACTGGTATGTTCATGATAAAGAAAGTTTGTGATGGCAGGCATCTAAACCACTGAAAAGTTTACTGAACTTTGTTAATATTTCTGTTTAAAATATCATAGTATGCAATACCTTTGGATTATATTTATTGCTTGTGGAATCACACCTTTTAAAAAATAAAGGCAAATATAATTTAAAGTATAAATCCAGTTACAAATGTGACATTGTTCACTTCAGCACTTCATTGTTCACAGTGGCATTTGAAAAGTATAAGATGAATATTTTATATTCATAGTTTATAGTTTACATATTTTTCAGAGAAATAAAATAAAATAAAATAATATTTTTTTCCTTGTTCTTTGCTCTTTTACAGACCAAAAATGCAATAAAAGATCTCAGAGATAAATATCAAGAAATACCGGGTAACATACAAAGAGCACTATTGGAACGGTTTGAAAAATGCCCAGAGAAATGATGCCATTCTGCTTGTGAAAATGTAGATCTCCATTCGCCCCCACCAAGAAATATATTGTGCTAGTGATTTGAGGTTTTTTAGAAAAAAATAGTTCACTTCAGTCACTAAATTTTAATATACGTGTGTTAAATATGCAAGTGGAATATCTATTTGTTGCTTGTTTGCAATTTTAGATTTGTTGATTTATTGTGTATATTTCGCATATAGAAAAGAGATATAGGTTTGGTGATCTGAACTTCTTCACATTAATATTTTTAGTGATGACCGACCTTTTTGATGTATTTGCAATCATTTAATAAATATTGTTCTACTTAAAATTGGAAAAGAAAATTTGCTCAAACTTCTTATCCCTGAAAAAAATAGATTCAGTGGTGCTCAACTTTTTTTTAATGGCACAGGAATGTGCAAATTCATATAAGATTTAATTCAAAATTCCTATATAAGGTCCTATTTAGATGTTACTCAGATTTTAAACTGATTCAGAATTTAATTTGATCACACATGCAACTATAGGCTATAATGAAGAAACATTAAAACTCCTACACCTACTTCATATTTAATGATTAATTAATTAGGGGGGAGAAAGAGAACGATTTAGCAGAATGGAGCGAACATGGCATCTGCTGCCCACCTACTGTCTGCTTGTGGACCATTTAGAAACAGACAGAAGCTCAGATTTGGCCCTGAAGCCATAGTTTGCTGATCACTATAAAACCAGAACAACAATAAAATAAAAAATACAGCCTGCCAAGCACCAAAATTTCAGAAGTTGTAATATCCATACCCATCCACTAGGGTTCAGTATTGTATATGAATCATACAATTGTGTACTAGCCAACAAATTATGATTTATTCTGTCTGAAGATGATGTATGAATATGAGCAATAATGCTTATATAACAATGGATGCTTACCATATATCTTACTATATAGTTTATGGGAGAGACACTCTTCATCTATTTTCTCTGCAGACACTGGTCCAGGACGGTTGAAGGTCTGACATAGCTCTCATGTTTGTCAGAGCAAACAAGCTCCATAACCGCGTCATGTTTGTGCTCATTGGAAGAATACCCAAAAACATGAAATCACAGCTGCCAATTGTTCAGCTTGTGTTGACCTTCATAACATAGTTTTTTTTTGTTTTTTTTTTAAATTTGATTTATATGCCGCCCTTCTCCGAAGACTCAGGGCGGCTTACAGTGCGTTAAGCAATAGCCTTCATACTTTTGTATATTTATACAAAGTCAGCTTATTGCCCCCACAAACTGGGTCCTCATTTAACCTACCTTAGAAAGGATGGAAGGCTGAGTCAACCTTGAGCCTTGGAGAGATTCGAACCAGCAGTAAATTGCAGGCAGCTGTGTTAATAACAGGGTGCTTTAAACCACTGTAGTACCAAAGCTCTTCCCAAGGACCTAGGAAATCATAATTTATCAGTATTGTAAATCAAAATAAAATATCTTTATACCAGCTTTTGCAATAAAAAGAGTACAGTAAAAACAGAAATAGTTTGACACAACTATTTATTATTTGGAAATTACAACTGGTGCAGATTGCAGCAGCAGTTTCGGGACCCCCAAGAATAGCCCCAAGAATACCCCTGTAACTAGGGGTGAAATGCTCCTGATTCGGACCGGATCACCCGATCCGGTAGCGATGGAAGCGGGTGGTTCAGAGAACCGGTAGCAAAAATCTCTGCCCCCCCCCCATGCCCAGCTGAGCTGCACAATCATCAGAGGCTTTTTTTTTTTTACTTTTAAAAGCATTTTTTGGCTGAAGAGGTTGTAGAAAAAATGCGGTTGTAGAAAAACCCTTTTTTTCTTTTAAATGTCTCTGACGATCCAAGCTGTTGCATGATCGGCAGAGGCTTTTTTAAAAACCTCTGCCGATCAGGCAACTCAGCTGGTTTAAAAGTTTTTTTTCTTTTAAATGCCTCTTGACGATCCCAGCTGAGTTGCCTGATCGGCAGAGGTTTTTTAAAAAGCCTCTGCCAATCAGGCAATTCAGCTGGGATCGTCAGAGCCTTTTGAAAGCATTTTTTTACAATCTCTTCGCCGAAGAGGTTGTAGAAAAAATGGTTTTAAAAGTAAAAAAAAAAAACACCCAGTCACATTACCCCCCGCCCAAGCCATGTCCACAGAACCGGTAGTAACAAATTTTAGATTTCACCACTGCCTGTAACACCACTGTCTCCTTTAAAGCCCTTCATGGCATGGGTCCAGATTACTTCAGGGACCGTCTCACCCTACTGGGATTGACCTGTACCACTTTGCCGGCAGGAGGCATGCTGCGGTCCCATCAGATCAATTGTTCTGACTGGTCCAGGAGGAGGACCTTCTCTTCTATTGCTCCTGTCCTCTGGAACATCTTGCCCACCCCCCCACCCCCCTTGAGGTTGGCTCTAACCCTCCTATCTTTTAGTAAGAGCCTTTCAGATGTGGCTTTGCCAGTTGGCTTGGGGAACAACGTAACAGTGATGGTTGATGGAGTAATACCAGATTGCACTTCACCCCCCCCACTTTGCCCCCAGTCTCCCCATGTGTCTTTGGTTTTAATGTTTGTTTTTAACTTTTTATGTTTTAGCTTAGATGTAACTATAAGCCACCCAAAGTTACCCTTTGGTAAATGGATGGCCAATAAATTATAAATAAATAAATGAAAATTGAGGAAGGGAAGAGCAGTAGGGCAATAAAACAATATATCGAATTAAAAGATTTGCACAGTTGTATAACATGATGAAGATATTTGTCCACTAATATATGAGTGTAAGGTTAGCATTCCTTAAAAATAAACAATAAAATAGACATGAAATTTATCCATGCGGCCCTCAGATTTTAAGACGATTGAGGTGATCAGAGTGTCAGGTTTCGTTGCTATCTTAAATAAACTTGATTTTCAAATGCAAAGTCTCTAATGAATCTTTTTTCTTTATTTAAGAATAGAAAACGACATTCCTGAACTCTGTTGCAGCCAAGATTGGCACCTCCTTCCACACCCCTCCCTTTCAGTTCTTCAACCCCAATGTCTCATTGGCCCCTATGCAGATCCATCTCTTCGTCCCATGCACTTTCTCTTCACAAGAATTCCCCCCTCCCTCTGTTGCCCAGGTAACGCTATCTGCTGAAGAGCCAGGAACTAGGTGAAAGTTCATCCCAGCATTAAGCAAGTCTTCCTGTGTCTTTTATGTCAGCGCTGAAAGAGATCACAATTTGGAACGCTGACACAGAGCACACCTTGGGGCATCAGAGAAAGGACCCCGTATGACAACATGAATGAGAATTTCTATTTCCCTGTATCCACAAGGGCAAAATCTTTGCAAATAAGGAGTTCCATGAAATCTTCCCAGTAGTAGAGGTGATGGGAGTCATCATAATGGGCTCTTGAAAATGCCCATATGATTTGCTTAGATAAAATACCCTGCAGTAGAAGGCCTCTGATCATCTTATATTTGGTGATAGTGTTCAGGGGCACTGCAGATTTCATTTTGATGATCAATAATAATAATAATAATAATAATAATAATTTTATTTCTATACCGCCCTTCTCCCGAAGGACTCAGGGCGGTGTACAGCCTATTTAAAAACACAGACAAAACAATGATATAAAATTTAAAATAATTAAATAAGTGGCTCAAATTTAAAACCCCAATAAATTTAAATACCCCAATTTAAAACTATTGTGTTGATAGTCCGGCCTGGCGGAACAACAGGGTCTTCAATGCGCAGCGAAACACCCGGAGGTCGGAGATCTTACGAATTTCCGGGGGCAGTTCATTCCACAGGGCTGGGGCTCCCACAGAGAAGGCCCTCACCCTGGGCGTCGCCAGCCGACATAACTTGGCTGATGGCACCCTGAGGAGGCCCTCTCTGTGGGAACGAACTGGTCGGTGGGAGGCTATTGGTGGCAGAAGACGGTCTCGAAGGTACCCGGGTCCTGTGCCATGGAGCGCTTTAAAGGTGGTAACCAACACCTTGAATCGCACCGGGAAGACCACCGGGAGCCAGTGCAGCTCGCGCAGGAGGGGTGTCACATGGGCATAACGGGTTGCGCCCATAACCACCCGCGCGGCCGCATTCTGGACCAGCTGGAGCCTCCGAGTGCTCTTCAAGGGGAGCCCCATGTAGAGAGCATTACAATAGTCCAACCGGGAGGTGACAAGGGCATGAGTGACCGTGCGCAAGGCGTCCCGGTCCAGAAAGGGCTGCAACTGGTGAATCAGGCGAACCTGATAAAAGGCCCCCCTGGCCACGGCCGTCATGTGCTCTTCTAAAGACAGCCGTGCGTCCAGGAGGACACCCAGATTGCGAGCCCTCTCTGGGGGGGGCAAAGATTCGCCCCCAATAGTCAGCGATGGCACCTGCTGACTATATCGGGGCGCCGGAAGCCACAGCCACTCGGTCTTAGAGGGGTTGAGTCTGAGCCTGTTCCTCCCCAATGTCCCTGATTCTCTCTTTTACTATTGATTTGGCCTCCTCCATGGTCAATTGGCCTAAATATTCATGAAATAGGCCAAGACTGAAAAGTTAGCTGCAGAAACAACAGTCCCAATGAAATAGGTAATTCTACAGCAATAGCAGAGGCATCAGGCCTGTAAAATCAGTCATGATTTTAAGTCCTGAAATTAGAATCCTAGTCCAGGCCTCCTCCTCCTCCTCCTGCTTCTGCTTCTCCTTTTTCCTTCTTCCTTCTTCTTGTATGTGATTAATTACAGTTAGATTCACAATCTAAGACTAGTATAAATTTAATAATTCAAGTCCTAACAAAGAACTAAGAATTATTAAGGTAACATCTAAGAATATAGGCAGTTTCAAGCAGGGTAGGTTTTGTTTGCCTGCCTTATTTTCCCCCCAAAACAACCACCCTGAGAGATGGGCTCAGAAGGTGACAGAAAGGAAGTGACTGACCCCAAATCATCCTGACTGCTTTTATGCCTAAAATGATCTCATTATCTCTGCTTTCTAGTCCAGCATCTTCACCACGGCGCCCAACTGGTTCTAATATGCTATTATGGTTCTCGTAAGATGTTATGCTTTTCATTGTAAGAATATGACTGTTTTGCAAAATCAAAACATAAGAAGTTAAAGGTGACCTAAACATCAGATGTTTAAGACATGAAATGCATTAGCCAGGTTTACATATTACATAAACTGTAACAGAAGTAGTAGGGCAATTGTGGTTAGAAAATTGAACCAACTGTATTTCATTCCATAAACCAAGATGACAGAACTCATAACTATTCAATGCATGCTTCAATTAATAAGATGTCTGCCCCCTCCTTTAATTATAACATCAGTTGTTTTCCTTTTTTTAGTAATCTCACCTCTGTATTCTACGTGTTTTCAAATAAAATTCCATGTGATCTCTGCAACAAGAGTGAATAGTGTCCCAATTTTGGTTAGTAAGAGGTGTATCCTTACAAGAATTAATAGTTTATGATTGATAGGAAATGGTATGTAAATGTTGCTTACCTTTATGTGCCTGTTTATGACCAATCTGTCTGAGTACCAAGCTTCTAGGCCAGTGATGGCTAACCTTTTTGCCATCACCTGCCAGGAA